CTTCCCTTCAATCTTTGGGGTAGACAACCGATCTCCCGCATCTTCTCTCTCGATGACGAACCCACGGATCTGACCGTCATCACATTTCGCCCATACTATCAACACGTCGGCGACAGGCGAGTTTGTGACTCGTTTCCTAAACGAGATTCGACAGTCTCACTTTTGCGCTCAATCGTGAAAGAAACGGTGAAAAGTACTAACCATGTTTTGCTGCCGTTCAATTTGTAGACCTTTTTATCGGAGTCGTAAATGGCTCTAGTCTCCATGGCTCCTGCGTCACTACCATGATTGGGCTCCGTCAAGCCAAAACAACCGATCTTTTCCCCGGAAACTGAAATACACTTTGAAAGCTATCGCCCACAACTCCAACGGTAATCGTCATTCAATCAATTTTACTAGCACTTATACAATTGTATTAATTAATCTAATTGTCGATCTAATTTTCATAAGTAATATAAAAATTAAATATTTTATTTTCGCTTTGTTTCTTATAGTTATCGAAAATAAATAATTATATAAAATTCTAGAACCTGGTAATTTTTTAATACAATTTAGAATAATAGTCTTACACAATTTAGAATAGTTATTAATTATCTTGTATCTAAATAATCTATGATTTTCACAATAATAGAGAAATTTTTATGTTGTTAGAGATAAAAGATTTATAATAATTTAATATTTACAACTTCAAATCGTTAATGACTATGGTTTATATATAAAAGAACATATAATTAGTCACTCAAGCAATCAATATGTGAGGTATAATCTTCAACTATGATTGAGATCCTCCATCACGATAATAATTATTATTATTAATTCTACAATTATTATTATTTAATAATAATTACAAATTATATGTTTCCATTAAAACTTGCGTTGTTTTTATGCTCCCCTTTTCAATAATGTTAATTTATTCTCAAAGCTATTGTATTAATTATATACTAATTATACGATTTAGAAATTAGAGAACGTAACACTAGAATTCTATCCTAAGAAACGCTTGAACGCACCCATTTTAGGTAGAAATCGTTCTTTTGAGCATCGCTGCCGAACATTAGATCGCACCGATCGAAAGAGAGGATTGCACCGAGAACGCCGATCGATACCCGCTGTCGATTTTCTCAATTTCCCTGGCAAGGAGCCCGTAAGCCACTGAGGATACCCCGGCGCCGCCATAGCCCTTCATGGTGCAGCCCAACACCCCGAGCTGTCCCATCTGCTTTACAATCTCTCGATCGAAGTGTTCCTTTCGGTCCGCTTCGATCACGTTCGGCAGGAGCTGCTCCTGGCAGTAGGAACGAAACTGATCCCTCATCAGGATTTCGTCCTGTGTCAATTGCGACTCTAGATCGAACGGATCCTCCCAATTGAAGGCGGCTGACCCACGAAATTCAATACAAATTTCAATACAAATTTTCAATAAAAGATCGATCGAAATTATACGCTCTTTGAATAAATTTTTATGACCCTGACGAAAACTATATTAAAGTTTTTGTATTCTTATTTAAAGTTGTGTAAAAGCGAAATGCAAATATTTCGAATTGTAAAATACATTTTTATTTAACAATACAATAAAATGTATTGACAATGTTACGGTTTAACTAATTTTTATATTTATATTAAACACATTTACGTCAATTTGTATATGAGAACTTTAATGTTCATCAATGCGCATACTGAAAATATTCAATCAAATTCATTATTAGAAAACAAGATTTCTTTTAAGTTTCTTTATTAGAAAGCTGCATCTTCAAAAAGTTGAGAAGTATTTTTCAGAAATCTTCATAAATTTAAATTAAAATTTTTTTAAACAATATGAGAAATATATTATGAATTTTTTTACTAGAAGATTGAATATTTTTTTAACTTTTCTTACAACATTCAGTACAGACTTTATGTAATATTACAAGATACAAGGAACAGTCTATTATAAATGCTAATAAATATTTAAATGACATATTTAAATAATATTTAAATGTCAAGGAACTAATTATGGATTTCTGATTGTAAATATTGGAGGATACAAACATGAGAAGAAATCGTAATAACAGTAAAGCTATATTTTAATTGTAATGTTCAATTTGTATGACAATGTAGAATTTACTGAAGAAGATTATATTAAAGGTCGAAATGTTTGGAACTATTTGAAATTATTTTATACTGTGATTTTAATTTATAATAATAATAAATGAATAAATTAACTTAAATAATCCATTTTTTTTTCTTATATAATATTACAGTGACATACAACGATGAAAGGGTAAATATCTTTTATCAGTTATCAGTAAAGATGAGAAAGCAAAATCGTAATGTCGGCAAAACGAACTACCGGTTGAATTGCGCCTTTGCATCGTGCTACCATCTATATTTTAAGTCAAGACTGTAGATCATCATACAGTACGAATCATGTCGCGATTAAGGGGATCCTAAAGATCTGTATTACCGACTAAACACGTATAATTTTTGTATAACGAATACTCTTTTTCTTTATCACGGATTGGAAAATCCTTTTCCAGGATTAAAGTATACGCATTAATACGTGTTTGTGAAATGGAATCTACGCTGAGAATGATCAAAAATTTCGAAATCGATATATTTTTTTACCATTCCTTAGTGTAACATGGCGTCTCAGCTGTCAAGTCGTGACAACATTTGTTTGATATGAAAGCTTTGCAACCCGAACGTACGAAATAATAGTTCCCAAACAACGACTGCGTGTATCATAGGCTGCGTGAGATATTGCTGTGGTAATATAAAAAGACATGTCGATGTGCGGCGCGCGGCGCGACATCTAGTGTTTTCGTCGGAGTTCGAGCTTTGCTTTAGGCGTCGTCTACAATACACGAAGTAAGAAGTAAGAGTAAGAAATTGACCAATCACAGTCGAATGTGAGAAGAATAATCGCCTGTGATTGGTCAATTTCTTACTCTTACTTCTTACTCCGTGTATTGTAGACGGCGCCTTAGGATCCCCTTAAAAGACTAGGCTATGTGTTTTATTTGTTTGATTATTAAAGATATGATTTAAAATTAAGTTGACTTACGTCTCGCTCGGAGCGTGGCGGAAGCAGAAATCTCTGATCAATATTTAAGGACGAATATGACAAATACTGATACACTATCACATGATCTAACGAAGAGTCCTAAGGTCCACAACGGATTTCCAAAGGATACGCCTCGTGGAATTTACACGACACAAACGGCCGGCTCTCAACAATAATCTCTGCATGTGGCTCGCCATGTTAACTAACGACTGATGATAGCGACGAAACACTGAGTTTGTTAATCTTGTTAAAAAAATCCTGTTATCGGACGTGTCTTAAGGTGTGTTCACACCGAGCGATTGAAAGTTCTAACAAGTGTTTTGACATAAATATTTATTCAATGACTTTTGATAAACATACTTCGACCAAGCAGCAGCTGACGACTAGTCAGCTGATCTGCTGATGTCGAGGGTATCGTGGAGTTTACACAGCAATATGATTGGCTCAACAACAATTTGGAGGCAAGTTCGAATGGCCGTCACTCACAAAGGAACCTCGCGAAGTGTTAAATCCTGATTTTATATACATATAGGTACGTAAAAATAAATTAATAAATTTAGAAAATATCAATTGAGGCGGGGAGCGATTTTATGCTCTAAAGATGACATTGTTTTGTCACTAAAAAAATTCTTTTTTTATTGATTTTACTTAAAAATATCTTTAAGTGAAGAATCTATTGATATATACTACTAATATATCGATATCGATGGATAGTTTTATTTTAGAAATATTATATTTTTTAGCCTTCCCTAAATATATATTTGCATTTTCAGTAGATATAACTAGTCTGCGAATCTCAAATTTACTTCGAATTTATCATGAATTTAATTTTAAAGTAAACATTACAAATACAGAACACTCTCTTCAAAATTTAATTAAGAGGGGGGGGAGGGCCATTCTATATTTTGTCACAAGTATTTTTAATTATAAATACATTAAATTTGATATAATGTCATATGAAATTAATTTCAAATTGTGTAACTTAAAATGTAATGAAATTTAAGAACATTTCTAACAGTGTAATTATATTTAATACATTGTGTATG